GCAGGCTACTGCGTAGCTGGAGGAAGGGAGCTGCTATTCTCCAGGCAGCAGATTGAGGGAAAGAAGCAACACCATCCACCATCTACCACTTACATACTGTTTTTGCTGGCCCAAGATGTTTTAACAATTGCAGCTGGATGAATTGCACAATGGGACACTCAACTTCCAGCTTAATTCATCAACAGCTTCAATAGAAATAGGCAAAAGAGGCATCAGCCAGCAGGTCAGTGTCAGCCTATGAAAACTTGTTCTTATGAATGGAGAGCATTTCACACACTCCACTCAGCATGTCGATTGACTCCCCAGATTTTCTGGAGAAGATGAACCTCTAGAACTCATCAGGAAGGAAGAGATGGTCACTGTTTTGCTCAACAAAGACAGGCATTCCACAACAATATTCCTGTTTTCACCAGTTTATTTGACACATTTGTATAGGGAAGGGAAGCATGAAGGAAAACGATTCCCATCCATCCCACCAAGAATCTTAAGAAAGTCTCCAATTCCAAGCAATTCAGCAAAGCAAACGTCCAGTCCAGCAGGCAAGCTACAGACAGGTGGTGCAAAAGGTGGAATATAACTACTGGCTTTGTTACCTGTTTCCCTGTCAATCACCATCTTTATGTGGGAAATCTTGTGGCTATCCTATTGTTTGGGGTGGGGGAGCATCCATGGCTCCATTTCAAAAGGCAGGTCTCGTTCCACTTACAACGGATGCCAGGTGGACCTTCTAACATGTGCTAGTAAAACTTTGCTAAAATATCATCAGAGGGATTTCTTCATCATCCCGTGGTCATTAATGCCTCCCTACACATAAACGTTTTATTTCTTTTTATTTTTTTTTTCTCTTTACCATGGATAATCCATTTAGCTAGAAACAAAACAGAAACACAATTCTCAAAGTAAAAATCTTCTGTAGTTCTTCACTCTCAAAAATTCTGAGAGAATGCCCTAGTTCACAAACTCTCATATTCCAGGATTGTGATTATTTTAAACAATAAACTAAAATTTCAAAACTCATTTGCTTTTTTATATATATAATTTGCTTTATATCTCACCTCTATTGAGTTTTTCCTCTTTCCCATTCAAGGTCAAAAAAATCTTTTCCTACATACAGTATGTATGTAAGCGATCAGCCAATATGCACATACTTTTTAAAATGCTCCTATTTGCTCTTTTGGAATATTGATGTAGAAGAGGGGAAAGATGCACCCAAACCTTCTAGTTGGGGATATCAGGATCCCTTAATGGACCTTTTGATGTTGCAGGTTAACCCTTTTATTGTTACCAAATGTAAAAATGCCTATATTATGCTAGGGGGACTTTACTGAAAACTAGATAGTATTTTGAAATAAAAAAAACTGTGCAGGTGTACAAAACACCAACACATGCATTTTCAAAACAACCAGGGTGTCTAAGGAAATAAGGGCTTGGTGGGATGGCATGTAGAAATTTGAGAAGATCCTGTCATAATCTGCTGGCTAATGTAGATGGGGGTTTTTGCAATGAAATGGAAACACACACATTGATTCATATTCCAGTCCCACAAAGTACAAAACCTGAAAAGCAATGATATAGTGGAAATGAAGATTCATGGACGGAAGCAGCCAAGATGCTGAAGCCATCCTACAGATGGTCATTCACTTCTATTACAGGAAGAGGGATACTACAGTAATAGTTTTAATTTTAATTAGCTTGGAGCATCAAGCTAACTCCTCCAGAAGTCCATTTCTTCTTCTGACAGGATCCCACTGGCTCTCTCTTTCCATCAAATTTCTGACAAGGTCTTGTCTTACTCAGCCTAGCAATTACAATATAAAGTAAAAACGCAACCAAACCCAGATGTGAAGATTCAACAGCAGATGGACCAAGCTTCATTTTGCATTTACCTACAAGTCAAATATTGGATTGGGCAGTTGCTTCCTAGGCCAAGGAGATGCATCAGCTCACTGCCTTGATCCGTACTTTGGGGGTCACCCAGGCTCTTCTTAAACAAGCAGCTCATTTTTAAAACATTGCATATATTCAGCAGTGATCTTATCTACCCAAAATCTCATTCACATATTTTAAATGGTTACAACATTGCTCTAAGATCAGAAGGAAGTTATATCCTCTGGGGACACTCAGGCATACCCTTCTAAGGCCCCCCCCTATCCAATTTCATTTTGATCCTGATTCAGCTTGAGCTAAGATAGCTCAGATTCAAGGCTTCAATTGTGCTGTGGCAGCTCCCAACATCCTAGCAGAGAAGTCCCTTCTCTTCCAACAACAGAGCTGTCATGTTTCACTGGACTCCTTCAGCGCCACCAGCCTTTCCCTCGGTGGAAAGCTATCCTTCTATGGCTCTTGAGGACAGGTGGAGAAATAGCTTCTCAAAGCAATTTTGAAATTACCCCAACAGCTGGCAAAGAATGGCTGAGAGTTTACTTCCCCGCCACCGCACTCTCTGCTGATCCTCCAGTAGGTTGCTGGCCTCAATGGCTGACATGGATGGAAGTGAGGTGAGTAACGCAGCAAGATTGCAAAGGCTCCACCAGCTTCAAGGGGATGACCTCTGGCCCCAGGCAGGGAGCATTTGAGCCAGCTCAAAGCAGGCTGGACAGTGATGCTCTTGGCTTGACTGAACTCCTGAGCCCCTCGGGGCAGAGATATTCCCAGAGGGGGGGGGAGCACAAAATGAAAGGATACCCCACAGTTGGGGGAGGGTGCCGACGCAGCGTTGTGGCTGTGAAGCCGCATGCAGGAGGGTAGCTCATGCAAGGCAGTGGCCCAGGCTCTTGAAGCACCTGTGGGACAAGAAATGGGTTAGTCTAGCATGCCTGCTGTGGAAACAATCTCTAGCAGATTGCCCCCCTCCCCCGCCTTTTTGCCCTGCTCCTGGAGAGGCCCCTGCTCAGCCTTCCTCAGATGCCTCCTCCCTGTTCTCAGGTCCTCCCTCTGAGGTTTTTTTTGTGCAATTATGGATGGGTAACAGATGCATTTTGATGTGTGCCACCATATTGTACAGGTAGTCCACACTCAGCGACCATAATTGGGACTGGCAACTCCCAGTGAAACCTCACATGACTGTGACAGGCTTATGACCTTCGTTTCACCTTCTGTTGTTAAGTGAAACATCACGTGACATCCAGCTGGTGACAAAGCCTTACGAATGGTGATCACGGATTATTACGACAGTCATAAATGCATAGCTTTTTTTTTACACCATCATAAACTTTGAATGGTCATTAAACGAGGCAGTTGGTAAGAGAGGATTACCTGTAATAAAGCAGCTGAGACCGCAGGCAGCTCATGGAGTCACAAGTGCCTGGGCAAGTGATGGCCTTTTGAGTGAATTGAAAGGATCAAGATACTGGTGTAGATTTTCATAACTGGTATTAATGAAGCAGTGGTGAGCTTTTGGACTGAATAGCCATGATCCATTTTTTATTTTTTTTTATCCACTGGCAAAATATCAGATCAAAATAAAAGCAAAGTAAAACTGGACCACAGCCAGTCTGCCCAAGAGCTCAGCACTGGCCAAGAAAGAACTCTAAGGGAATACTCTTTTTTTCTTAGAGAGGAATACAAATTGTGGACTAAGTATGCTCAGAGCCATTTGGAGTAGAGTGGCATTAAAATAAACAATTGTACTGTGTCTGTTCTTAGTAGAGGTTAATAGGTATCATACCTCTAGATTCTCCAGAATTGTATTATAGAGAAGCCATGGTAGCACAATGGTTAGAATGCAGTACTGCAGGTTGACTCTGCTCACTGCCAGGAGTTTGATCCTGACCAGCTCAAGGTTGACTCAGCCTTCCATTCTTCCAAGGTTGATAAAATAAGGACCCAGATTGTTTGGGGGGGGAATATACTGACTCTGTAAACCGCTTAGAGAGGGCTGTACAGTATATACAGTATATAGCGGTATATAAGTCTAAGTGCTGTTACATATCTGGCACAGCAAGGGAGGGAAGGGAGGCTGAGACTTTCCAGTTCCTCCCCAACACCAGCTGAAGTGAGGGAAACAATCGTTAAGTGTAATATACAGATATTACACTTTATATCTGAGAGTGTTTGAAACAGTGCATCTATTTTTGCATACTGCTACACATTTTCAAATGCATTTATGAGATTCTCTGGAGCACTCTCTTCATGGCCCACTCTTGATACCAGGGAGAAAACTAGGGGCCTCCTGATGTTTTCATCTCCGGTTCTTGACAGCCCCAGGCAGCCGAAATAATGGCGGGGGCTTGTTCAAAACATCTGGAGAACATGAGATGATCTGCCTTGGTCCTATAGGATCTCTTCTATAACAATGCGGCTGATTGTCACCAGCAGCACTGCTGCCTCATTTTCCTCTTCCAGCACAGAATTATAATGTAGAGGAAGGCACACAAACACTGCATCATTCGGGTTGATAGTGACAACTTGGTAAAGCAGACCCCAGCATGCCACAGTGATGGATCCACAGAGATCAAATGGCCACACAACACCCTGAACTACTAATTGGCCAATCATTATGAACAGCCTATGGAATTCGCATATATAAGGATAGCTTAGGTCAGTGGCCCCCAACCTTTTGGGCACCAGGGACCGGTTTTGTGAAGAGTGGTTTTTCCGTGGACCGGGGGGGGTGGTGGTTTTGTGTGCTGCCTGCATCTCACGGATGGGGCTTCGCTTGTTTGCACGGATCAGTTTCTGGCATGCCGTGGCCTGGTACCGGTCCACGGACCGGGGTTTAGGACTCCTGGCTTAAGTAATCCGGAAGCCTGGATGAAGTTAGCCAGAAGTAAACTTGTTTTGTAATATTAATTACAAAATATTAATTGTGATAGTCCAAAAGCTGCACATGAGCATTTTTCTGCTGCTAAACAAACTCTTCAGTGTGCAGTTCTGGACACAGTAATTGGCCTTCTCAATCTAAGCTAGGTAGTAATTCAGTAAAAAAAACAAAACCAGGATTCAAAGAAACCTAAGCTGGTGTTAAAGTTATATTTTTCTTTAGTGAACCCACCTCTGGGGGGGGGTCACCATTTTCCACGCTGTCCTCCAGATGTTGCCTCTCCAATTTCTTCACCCTCTGCACCTGGTCCCATCTTGGTGATATGGCGCAAAAAGGATGTGGCATTGATTGCTCGCTGCAAAAACAAAAATGGGAATCAGACCCCTCCTCCCAGAAGCACAGAAAATTGTCTTGACTGAAAAAAGCTACCAGATGAAAGTTATCAATGGAAGTATTAACGTATCCATCAGTGTGTTACTGCTAATAAGCTCAGCTATGTAGGTGGCTGTAAAGCTGGCGATAATAGCTGAGAATTATACAAAATGATATCATATCTCCTTTGATTAAAGAGCACAAGTCAGCAGACAATCAAACAAGCCAAAACTGGAAGAAAAGGGCTCGTATACAGAATTACAGCAAACCTATCACCATGAAGTATTAGTTTACCTGTTTATTTGTTGAAGGTGATTTCTTCTCTAAATTATTGAACATAACTTTTTTGTCAACATCACCCTGAGTACCAAAGTAGAGCAAATGAAAAAGGAAGGCTGATGTCATTTATTTTTATTTAATTCTAATTCTAGTCCACCTAATAACCAGAACACGTTGGGTGGGTTACAAAGTACCCTAACAAAGTAAAACTCTAGAAATAAAAAAACAGTAATCAATAAAAAGGAAAGGAAAAAATGTACAAAATTTAAGTTTAATTATAGCCAATTTTTCCCAATTTTCACGGAGAGCAGAATGATTTTGGTTGAAAGGGAAGTTTTATTTACTTTCTCAATTTGCCATCTAAAATGTAGATTCATCCATTGAGCCAAGCTCAATGCTGCCAAATCTGTATTCTTTATAAAAGGTGACAAGATGTGGGGGGCACAGAGGAGCAAGGGGAAGACTTCACCTTCAGGTTTTGCAAAAAGAAAACTTTTTAAAAAGTTGAGAGATGCGCAGGAGTCACAGAATAAAAACAAATCACAAAAAGATGGAGTTTGAATATTGTAGAGTCATCAAGAGTAAGGCATTGTTCACAGGAATTTTGATAAGGAACACGCCTGTCAAGAAGCAGAAATCTGCCAGCACTAACCCATTTAATTAAAAGGTACCGGCTTTCGTGAGCTGCAGCTCTATCCTGTCAAGAAGGTGAGAACCAAGTTGCTAAATATTGCAGTAGGCTCCTCTTATGTTTTTCTACTGTTAACGAGGTGTCTCTAAAAAGATATAATTCAACTTATCCAGGCCAGTAAGATGACAAGTAAGAAGATTCATCACAGCTACCGAAATCCAGTATCCCTCTCTTTGTAATTAAAAAGGGAACACAGAAAAAAAATGCAGAACCATATCCAGCTTGAGTTGACCTTCAACTTTTGACCTTACCTTCCACTGACTGCGAGCAAAGTTCTTCTGAATCTGCTCACACACAGATCCATGAATGTCCTTCTCCAGAGCTGTATCCCCAGAGATCCTGAAAGGTGTAAAAGGGAGGGAAGTAAATCCTTTCAGTGTTTCCTGAATTGTGTGTGATCTACTTCCTTATACACAAGAATTTTTATTTTACCTCACCTCCTGGGCTTCAACTACTCTATATGGTCTTTGAAGGGGAAAGGTGGCTTGATGTCTTTGCTACTCACTGTCATAGGAACTGCGCAGTGTTTTTTGTACATATCCAACCAAAGGCAAACCACTGTAAGACTATGACAGTAGTGGAAGTAGGGGATGCATATAATTTTTCTTATTTATTTTTTGTGCAGACTGATATAAGGGAATCTTTGTTTCTCCAGCATCTGCAGTAGCTTAGGACAGGGCAAGATTCTTTATTCTCTCAGCCTTGAAAGAGTAGAAGACCTTCAACAAAAAATTTCAAGATCCATAATCCTTTTAAGGGACTGAGGGAATGGGAATGGGAATGGAAATGGTAGTAGTGTGGAAGAACGGTTAAAAGAGAAAACTTTTATCCCCTCAGGTAGTGAGACTCACCAGGGATGTTGCAGAGCTTGTTCACAAGTAAATCGTTTCTCAGGGTCCCGTTCTAGAAGATGTCGGATGAAATCTTTGGCTACAGGGGAACAGAAACACAAACCTCATGATTTACTTTAAAGTTATCAGAAAAAGCTTTTTTCTGGTAACTAAATAGATGTAACGGCCCCATTGTGACTATGTTTAGTATCTTAGCTACTGAACCATCACTTTGTCATTTAGTGTAACACAGCACGATGGGGGAATGTCAAGGGATAGCTATCTATGCCAGCTTACTGCCATTCATAGTTGCTGGTCTCAGCTGCTGAAAATCTGAAAGAAAATATCCCTTAAAAAGTCTAGTTCTCATTAAGATGGTAGATCAGAAGGATATGGGTTAGGGTGTCAATAAAAGGCAAGATGGCAGCTTTAAGCACATATTCAACGCCCTGCCCTTGTTTTACATGCAGTGCACGTTAGAAAAGGGATGGGGCTTTGATCACACAGTCATAGCCACCATCTTCTTTTTTTAATCCCTTCTTAAGGATGTTTCCTTTGTGCATCACAAGGTTTAATGATTCTCTTCATTCCCTTGAGAAAATGAAGCATGTACTAAATAAGAGCATTGCCAAGCAAGGGTTAACAAAGGTGTACAGAGGTTTAGGGGACACTTCTTATCCAATTTTTTAACATGAATTTTCCAGCCCATTTAAATCTATAAAAGAACACACAGTTGTTAAAATGTTGCTATTCAAAAGATTCAAAAAATCCTTATATTAAAGGGCAAAATGTGTACATTAAAGGTTACACTATTTGGAGGGATGTATGCACAAAAATGGATTCTGTCAGAAGAAAAACGGTTTGCAAAATGCTTACTTGGCAAAAAGTAAAGAACATGCGCACATTTGTTGTTGTTATCAAATGTGTCTACTGATGGGGAAAAGGGGCCAACCAGAATATGCAGATAGCAAAGTGAATGGGATGGCTAAGGCATGGATCCCTGTTTTCAAGGAACAGGATTGAAGTTTTTTCCCCAATCACTATATTTCGGTCAAAACACGTTCCCTTTAGAGAGAATCTGAACAGGATTTCTATAGCTTCCAAGGTTAGAACTGGCAAGAAGCCCTTCCCATGCCACTTTCTTTACTCAAATGTGCACTCACCTGAATCGGAGATATCATCCCAGTATGGGGAGTCAAACTCATATTCAGCTTTCAGGATCTGGTTGAAAAGCTCAGAGTCGTTCTCATCATAGAAAGGAGGATAACCACAAAGTCTGCAGATTGGAGCACAGGGACCAAATCTCACATATGCATGCAAAAACATGTTACAACTTGTTCCTTGTGCTTAAATAAATGCTAAAGGATGGATTGGTAGTGATGTAGAAAGGTACCCACAAGATATAGGAGATGACACCAAGTGCCCAGGAATCCACTGCTTTTCCGTAGGGCTTCTGCTCCAGGATCTCCGGGGCTACAAAGACACAATGGCCGAGAAGGAAAGGAAGGTCTGAGGCTTTATTTAGAGCTGTACCACCAATTCAACTTTCTGCAGCTTAACATTGTTTTATATATGAAAAGAAGAAACAGTTGCCCAATAGAGCAACTACAATTCCCATCAGCCCCAGCCAGCTATCAGGAAACTGTTATCAACAAAACCTATTAATGTTGATCTTGCAAACTCTACCTTTCCATTGAGTATATGTACTTACAGCCAACCTTCCACCCCTATAGCTGTGTACAAAAAAGGACACCATCTCTGTTCTTTTTCGTACTGTTAAACCACTTCGTTAATTGAAAATATTACTGAACAGAGCATGTGATTTCTAGGACCATGGACTGCAAAAAGAATCAGTCAATCAATCCTGGATCAAATAAAGACTCACGGTCTCTTGTGGTGACATTCAGCAAGCAGACATCTGCATAATTTGGATATAGATATGAGCAGAAGATGGACTAGAAAAAAATATTATGCTTGGAAAGACAATAGATAAGGCAAATGAACAAATTCAGAGAGATTATTGAAATCTTCTTGGGACAGCTAATTGTTGTTACTGGAGACAGATTAAGGTGCTCACCATTTGTCCATTCAGCCAAACGTTGAATCCAACTTATGGGCATCTAAGTGACTAACTAATTCTATAATCCTGTCCTTGTAACCTTATAATTAAAGTGCAGTTATTTCCCAGACTATAACTATAAGATTCCCATGTAGATTCGGCGGCATTGCTCCAGCACCTCCCTGTTTGGGTTAAATGTAATACAACCCTTGCTTTTGTTGTCAATATTTAACGCAATTGCCAGCTGCAAAGTCTTATGCTCATTGTCATCTCTTCTTGACATATCTATTTTTAGCCCACCACCCATGTAGCATCCAAACAGCAGGAGGAAAGAGGAAACAGTAAGGGTTTAAGAAAATACATAATATCCCTAATCCCTTTTGACTCTAACTCAAAGCCCCCAGCACCTTGAACAGCATCCTCCCAGAGATAAGGATGATGCCCTCTTTCCTGGAGTTCTGGAAAGCTTGGGAAAATCTGGCTTTGATCCAGGTCTGGGGTTGATCTATTATTGTTTGTCTAGGACACCTGTCTTGTTGGATTTTTATTGTCTGTAAGATTATTTTAGCCTGGGCTGTCCATTTGGTTTAATGTTTTATCTGTTGTTATAGGGGTTTTTTTTTCCTGGTTTTGTGCACCACTCAGCATCTGTTGGAATTGGATAGCTTATAAATGCCAATAAATAAAATAAACAAATAATAGCTCTGTGTATTCCTTAACTGGATGAAAGTCATTTTTAGCTCTCCCACTTGTAAACGAGCAGATGGACTGTGAGCAGATGGATTATGAATTGGAATATGGTACGAAAGCCTTGCAAAATCTCATTTTGTAGATGAAAAGGGGAAATAGAAAAGAAATCATTGGCAGCCTTTAGAATTGGGAAAAAACACCCCCGATGGTTCAGAACCCATTGGAGTATGAGTTTTAAGGTTTTGGGTTGCAGTTTCAGGTCCTTATATTAGCCCCTGCTCAAGAACAGTGGAGCGTTTTATCAGGTTCGCCTGATATACCAGTTGCGGCCTTTTCTGGACCGGGACGCCTTGCGCACAGTCACTCAGGCTCTCGTCACCTCCCGCCTGGACTACTGCAATGCTCTCTACATGGAGGCTCCAGCTGGTCCAGAATGCGGCCGCGCGGGCGGTGTTGGGAGCGACACGTCGCTCCCATGTAACGCCGCTGCTGCGCGAGCTGCACTGGTTGCCAGTGGCCTTCCGGGTACGCTTTAAGGTGCTAGTCACCACCTTTAAAGCGCTCCATGGCATCGGTCCTGGCTACCTCCGAGACCGCCTTCTGCCGCAGA